TTTGGGACGGCACTTCATGTTCAAATAGAAAACCCATAGTTTCTAATTTGAAAGTATTTACAAAATTAAATACATAAGTGAAAAAACTTGCAGCGTTTCATTGTTTATAGCATAAAATAAAGATAACAGACGACTCATTTTGTCATGTGACCTGATGAGGCGCTTTGACGTCAGGAAGGAGTCATTTTACACGGCGAGTTAATATTTCTTCACCTTCATGATGGAGTTTTTTTATTCTTTAACGAGGGCGAATAGAAGCAGTCAGAGTCTGAGGGGTTTAATCAGCGCTGCTAAATGTTCTTTGATCTCATGCGGCGTCGCTGGAAGTTTTTATCTTCCAGAACATTTTCCAGATGCTGCTGAGTTTTAATGATTTTAAACCAGAGTCTAACCTCCAGTTAACAGGATTGGTTCTGTGGTGACTGGGGTGGGTTGGCAGCGTGCAGCAGCGGCCGGGCGTGAGCCTGGATGGGGGAGGCGGTCCCTCGGTAATCTGATCCCAGCGAGCGTTCCAGGCACCGGATCCATCCTGATGTCCGGGTGGGAAACATTGCCCTTGGCATGTTGGTTATCATCGGTTGGGCTCATGGCTCCGGGGCCCGTGGCGTTCCAGCTGCGGGTCCCCGCCTGCGCTAACTGACTGTTATTCATGGCGGTTCTTGTTGTTCTGGAGCCCATGATGATATGGAAATCTATCTGGACGGCTCTACCAAACAGTGCAGCTCGCTGAGTTCGCTGTTTTATGAAATAAAACATTTCATAAAAGAATAAATGATGCTTTGAATCAGCTTTATTTCCATCAGGCATTTATTAAAGCTATAAAACAGAGAAAACAAGCCGCTGATACTTTGGTTTATTGAATCCAGCGGATGCTGTGAGAGCAGGACTGATGATGTCTCCTGTATCGGTTTGGACGCCACAGATCGTCCGGTTGATTTTTGTTTAATCCATTTAGTTTCCGGATCGAAATTTGACGCCAAAATGGGTCCTTTGAATAATTAAACGTTCCTGATTCAAAACCATTCCTACATTTGGCAGCAGAACAACAGACCACTGTAATGACGTTTTACGGAGGGTTTAACGACGCGTGAAGTTGTGTTTCTATACATCCGCTAGAGGATGTTTGACTGCGCTGACATCACAGCTGGGTTTGGTCATGTGACTGCAGTAGAGGCGCCCAGTTACTGGAAAGTTCTCTGGATGTTTAGCATTTTTTGCAGGATTTAGACCAGCAGCACAGAGGAAAGAAGGTATGATCCTCTATCGCACCATAAAAGGCACTCCTTTCTGTTTGACCTGTGATGCGGCGATGCCTGCTTGGGAACGGAGGGTTAGCGCTTAGGAGCCGGTTTAGGATCAGCCTGAAAAGGTTTGGAGGGAACTTTGGATCCAAGATGGCGTCTCCAGCAGCTGTGAGCTAACAGGCAGGTGTTTAGCATGTTAGCGTGCTGGAACAGCTTTCCTGGCAGCCGCCATGTTGGAATCTTTGCTAACTGTAACTTTTCCAGCTCTGGGGGGAACTGGAGGCTGTAGGGTTCTGGTACCAGCAGCAGAGAATCATGGGTAATGTAGTATTAGCCAGGACCATCATCCGCTCACCTTTTCCTGCCAGGGTTCTGGTTCTTGTGTGGACCTCCGGGCCTTTTCTGGGCGTGGCCCTGGATCCTGCTTCCTGGTTGGGCGCTGAGGCCCTGAGGAGCGTCTCTCAGGCCGAAGCTCTTGGCGGTGTGGCCCAGGTGCAGGCGGCGGATGTGGAAGATGTGTTTGAGGTGGGCGGGGTAGGTGGTGTAGGCCCGAAGGAAGGACTGCAGCGCTGTGACATCACAGGACAGGTCAGCCAATCACAGCACAGCATAGCCCTCAGACGGGGTCACGTGTCAGCGTACCTTTCTTTGCAGCTTGCAGAGACTGAGTGTCGGAGTGCACAAAGTTCTCCAGCTCCGTCTGCAGGACGGTGGCGCGTTCTCGGACGTCCTGCTGCAGAGCTGCGGACGAAGTCTGAGAAGAAACAAGACCTGGATCAGAGGAGCCTTCAGACGGACGCCAGGGACCGCCCACCTCAGCTTCAGTCGCTAAGGTAACGGTGGGCGTCCAGGTGTGTTCTACAGCCGTTAGAGACGTTCTGCTTCCCCAGGTTCAGGGCCACAGTCTGCCGCCTACCTGGCTGTGATATTTCCCTCGACCTTTGAAGGCATCGTCCTTCATCAGGCATGAGAGGACGTCCTGCAGCTTCATCTCTGAAACGCTGAAACCAGAACATCCATCAGAGACGGAGCGACACGGTGGGTCCTGCTTCCTGCCAGTGACGTCACGCTACGTTATCGGCTGAACGTTGCCACGTGACGTAAAGCAACGTGGTTGCCCAGACAACGATAATGACATCACGCAGCGTTGTTTGCCGGGTTGGGAGCATCTGTAGCTTAGTAATCTAGATTTGCTATTATTTGACGTTTCATGGGCGATCTAAAGTAGCCGAAAGTAGAAAACAATCATCATCAGTCTGGAAGGAAAGTTAAGGTGAGCAGATTCCTGCGATCTGATCTAATCTGGAGACGTTTCCAGATCATCGATAGAAATAAATACATTTTATGAAAATTCAAATAGGAAACAGGGACAGTGATGTTTTCATCCATTTTTACATATTTATTCATATTTAAACAAAAATCAGGTGTGAAATCCAGGAATGTGCCTCTTCCATTTCCTAAGATAAATAATATGAATCAATCAATGCTGGTTATTAATTAGAGCCATTCAGCCTCTCTGTCTGCTTCCCTTATGAGCAACAGAACATCCAGTTCATTAACAGGCCGGTTGGTTTAATACAGTCTGTGGGAATTTCACTATTTTTCCATAACAAAATATGTAAATGAAACTTTTATATATAAATAAGCAAATTGAAAAACATATTTTTTCTACATAATAATAACTATGAAATAAAATGGCCTCCAGTTGTTTCTACTGTATCCTGGATGGCAGCTTGTTTTGTTTTGTCTTTAAACGTATAAATGAATAAAAAATAATCTGTCCTTTAAAAAAGTTAAAGTGAAAATGAACAGGAATATATTTATTTTAATAATCCTAAACCTATTTTCCATTCATGTGTTCATAGATACAGCTGCGCCTTTTCTGTTCTAGATCAGCTGTTATAAATATAAAGATTAAATGATCCTAGTTATCCCTGTTACAAAAATCCACAACAAAAAGAAAATATTTGTGCAGAAATCTGCTGGATGCTGGGGGGGATTTTATATATGTCATATTAATTTCTGCATGTTTTGATCCTATATATTTCAGAATAATCTGGCTCATGCTCTCCTGGAACTCAGAGGATAAATCGGAGTGGAGCAGGATGGGGGGGGCAGCGGAGGCTGCAGGCTTTGCTTTGGGCAGGCGGCGTGAAGGGTAGCGATGACTGATCGCACGCATGGCCGTTATTAGCGGCCATCAGTCCCATAGGATGGCTCAGAATCCTAATCCTAAAGTCATTCCTTTCCCCACCGCAGAATTTATTCATCTATTTATTTGTAATCTGAAAATAATCAGTAGATCTTAATCTGCTGTAAAAATAAAAAAAATAAAATGATCTGCATGTCGCTCATATTAACCTAAAAACAAATAAACTGTCAATGCAGTTGTAAAATTATTTCCCTATAAATATAAAAAAAAAAAATGCAGATCATTCTTTAATCAGATCCTCATCTAACAGACATGGAAGGTTTCTTTTTCAAACTAATGTGTAACGAACCCAGTGAACGATGGTTTTGTTGTTTTATGCAGAAACTACAACATTAACCGGAATAAAACGCCGTGATTGGATGTAAGCAGAGCAGAGACACAGGAAGCTCTATGTGACGCGTATTACGGA